CGGGCGACGTGGGCGACGTGGGTGGGCGACATGGGCGGCATGGCGGCATGGGCGACGTGGGCGGCATGGGCGACGTGAGCGGCATGGGAGACGCGGTGGCATGGGCAAGCTGAACTTAGCTACGCCCGGAAAAGCGGGGTCTACGGACTCCGGACGCGCCGCGGTTGGACGCGATGCCCCACTTCGCCCTATTGAGTTGCACTCTGTTGAAGAAGAAAGATCTCTCCCTCCTACAACGAAATGTATGCTGTGAGTTGTCTGTTTACAGCTCAGATGTTCGGCTCCGTCGATGCAAATGCGATCTTGCACCATGTGTGTGGTCTGTAATACCTACAGTCTCCCCCCAGCCATCAGCTTCGTCTATTCCGTTTCCCATCCTCTCCCAGGACTTGCGTATGGTCGTTTAAATTTGGTGTCGATATAGTCATATTGCCTTTTGGTGGGTTCCTATGTGGCTGTGTATTTGAGCCTGGTTGACCAGCAATCTATCGCGGTATGGACCCAACTTCCGCTCCGTGAAGTGCAATGCTCCACTCGGTGCAAGCTGTCGAATTACTAGGCCTGAGAGCCTCAGCGTGGCGCGTTCGCAGACAGTGTCGCGGTTGGAGGGCCATCACTCCTCCTTCACAATGGGGGCGACAGGGGACGAGTCTGCCTGTATCTGTATATTTGGTAGCACCGGTCGTACCGTGCTGGCTGTGAGCATTTTCATCACCCAAGGAACAAGAAACATCATTCTTGTTCAGAGACCGGAATTTCCCATTTCAGCTCAACCAGACGTCGGTGCATACCCTTGCTGACTATCGACTCGAGGAAACAATGACGGAAGTCAACGTCCGTTCCGCCTTGAACAAGAATCATCCATGAACTTGCTTGCGACGATCTGGTTTGGAGAAATGCCATGTACGACGCCCGGTCTTCCTTAAGAGAGATACTCGGGGGCAGCACCAAGTCCTGGAGGCGGAGGAATCGCGGGAGACCAGCCGCCATTTGGAGGGGTACCATGGCAGAAAAGCCCCAGTCAATGATGCTTCAATCATTTAGTAACGGAAAACGGGAGGCTCGATCCTCACTTACCCGCAAATATTGTAGTCCGAGTCGGCAATGATATTCTGCGGAGCTAAGTCACCGTGATCTATGGCAAATGGGGCGTGGGTCAAGTCAGGATGCAGCACTGCTGAAAGACGGTCTTTCTGATCGATGCAGTCGTTCTCGGTTAGATCCGGCAGGAACCCATCGCGGACGCGGCGGATCTTGTTCTCTATTATCCGTTCGAAGTGTTGTACAGCGCTAGCACCTTACATGGTCAGCGTATCGTAAAGTACCCTGGTACTGAGACAGCTTACCGTCTTGCTTGGTACACTCGATGAGAGACTCCTGGATCCGTGCCATTTGACTCAACACCTTGTCGCGAAGGGATCGGGGAGGATGGTCATCGGACCACGACAGTGGATTGCCTGGAATCCATGCTAACGCAATGAAGGGACATCCGATATCGTTGTTAAATGATGCGTCATGGCCTTGATATTTCGGGGCCCAGAGAAAACCTTTCATCTCAAGCTGTTGGAGGAGATCGGCCTCGGCTTGGATGATAATCCGTATCCCGGCTCTATCGCTCACCAAGAGAGGAACTCGTACAGCCCAACTCTCTCCGGAGAGGAAGTCTGCTTTGAAGACACAACATTGCCCACCAGTCAATTTTTGCGTGATTGTTGGGACTGCGCCGTCAACACGGAGGCGGGACACAGCAACAGGTAGGTTTTCGAGGCAGAGGCGGTGGTGTTGCAGCTCCATGTTCGCGGCTCGCTCCTTGTTGGGGGTCAATAGGTGGAGGTCGGTCGGCCTTTTATGGAGCCTGCCCTACCTCGTGACACAGAACCAATAAGGTTGGCCCTATCAATAGCGCATCTCCTTTCTCCTAAAAGGGGATAGTACGTCTTGCCTTGGCAGAGATACAATGGTGTTGATTTGGACTAAGGAGCGACAGATTCTACCATAATACCATGCCTCCTACGCAGTGGACTGCAAAGAGCGATTGGCGCGATAACGCATATCCCATGCCTCCTACGCAATGTACTGCAAAGAGTGACTGAAGCAATACCACAAATACCATGCGTACTACACGATGCACTGAAAGAATTTCTGCTCGCCTCTTAGCCAGATACCGTGTAAACGTGAGTCCCATGGGGGTGGCCGGGGGCGCTTGCATTGCAAGTGCATCGGCAGCCTCTCTTCCAAAGCGGTTCAGAGAAGAACCAGGCAGTGTCGACTGATTTCAAATCCTCAGGCCACTGGTAGTAGCTGCGCTTAGTAATAGAAGCCAACAACTAGCAGATAATGACTCACATCGGCGGGTTTCAGATTGATGTTGGTATTGCCGATGGTGATTTCGCACAAGCCTGCAAAATCGTCTCCAGGATATCGACAGAACCCGAACAAGTTCGAGACCTCGTGTCTGTCGAGCAAGGCCCTGAACTCCAACATGAACTCTTCATCAAGTTCATCGAAAGGGTTGTCCTGTTCTTTGGCGTAACGAAATTCGGTAGGGCGGAAATACCCGTCCGGACAATTTGCCCAGATGCTGGGTTGGGGACGTCGCATTCCAGGGATCTCTTCTGAGTTCCAAGGGCTGGATGTACCGTTGTACTCGACAAGCCTCTCGTCTGGCTTAAGGCCGAAATGACGATGAAGTATTGTCAGGCCAAACCTGCGGTCCATACCTTTCTTGGCAAAGAAGGGTTTGAAAATGTCATTGACCAATGCGTTGCCATTCACATCTTCAAACCTCTTCCGCGCAGCCTCTAAACTCAGAAGGGCTTCAAAGGTTTCGGCAGAGTATTCTTGAATGGCCATTGTCATATGGATGGGAGCTTGGTCTCAATGAATATGAAGGAATTGTGCAACTAGAAGGTGTGCAGGATCTGTGTGTACAGGTGTAGAGACCCAAAGACCGAGAGGCGCCGGCTATTTATGGTTTTCAAGGGGCGGGCAGAGACTGTGCTGCACTTCAACGAGCTACCACGGAATGCGAAGCCGTCAAAACTTAGCACCAGGCTTCTGCGGCTGGTGTTGGCTCAAGGCTGCCAAGACGCGTTTGGGGCCTTCGTGTTCCGCGGATGAGCCTGGGGTGCCTCACACTAACTGTCCAAGCGCGTCGTGACGTACTAGCGTCATGCAACCGACTCTTACGGTCATTCAGGAGTGTATACGTTTGACTGTTGCTTAGTTCCGTGGCATCTATAGAACTACACCCTCCGTGAGAAACGCTCCTGCCGCCACCGTTTACCCGCCGTTGATACTGAACTACATGGAGGAAAATGCCTGGAGAAAAGCGGATCAAGAATATTGTAGGTTCATTCATCATGTCTGGTACAGGACTGACACTGTGGCTAGATGAGAAATCACGAGGCGAAATGTTTGATGAAGTTCGTTGGAAGCTGCGAAAGGACGTCGAATATGCTTGCCAACACGAGACAGAGCAGCACAGCAACCTAACGAAGTATATACTCGAGCGAGTGCAAGATATGATGATGCGGCTTCGGGCTAGATTGGGGCGCCCACCGCACCGTGACGGAGGTCATCGCCGAGGCAGAACTGTGAGGCAGGGTGAGTGACCCGGAGGATAATACCAACACCAAGGGGGTAGATTCGTGCTATATAGTCAATTGAACCCTTGGCACGTCATGAAGAAAGGCGACAGAGATGTCGTGAAGGATTGAAAGCCTGCCACCGAGGTGTGAACCGTGACGCCGTGAAAGAGAACCCCCAGCCCTGGACCCAGTTGCCGTCCTATTACTGACCATTGCCACCGCCACCGTCCACCCGTCTTCGTCTCGCTCGAAGATGGTATCGATGAGCTGTGCCTGGCGGCCAAATAATGCGCTTGCAAAATGTGAATGAGCCCAATGACGTCGCTACTTAGATGGTCGCTGTCGTCGGTGCTCGTCTTTCTTCGCCTCCGTCGAAGGGAGAGTCCTCTTAGACTTGGTAGGTGGGCTGAGTGACTGCCTGGGACGCTTAGAACGTAGGATCTCAGTGTCGAAAGACGTGAAACTGGACACGAAACTCAATGACGGGTCATCATGGTCCCGAGGTCCCGAGTCCTGGCTCAGGTTTTGCGAGTCTTCCTCCGCCCGCAGGTATCGGGGCATGGCGGTTGTCTCGGCTTCGCCTTGGAGAGGCTCACCTTCGACGTCGGCGATTAGCTGCTGAAGCACGCTGTCGGCATCCTGCCAAGCGCCACAGTCTGAGGGGTCTGCTGATTCGAAAGCTTCAAGCTGCGCAGATGCTGAGGTCTCTTCGTATGCCACAGTGACGCCTGCATTGTCTACTGTAGCCGCCGCAGCTGCTCTTGTATTCGCGGCCTGAATAAAGGCACCGCGATATCGTTCTGCCATGTCCCGGGCGTTCCTGAACGCCGTGGCGCCGTGTCGGAAGGAATTAATGTTGCCGGTTAATTGCCAGCCGTCGATCTGTGTCATGTGGTACTCTGGCCGCCCTTCCACAGTGCTCGGTGCGGCAATATGGTGTGTGTAGAGTTTGAGCGTGCCATCATGGTAAGTGGAGCTGAACGTGTACGCATTGTCGTCGTATGTCGGCATAGTCTCCCCGTAGTTCTGCAGGGCGTGCATGGCACGTGCTCCGTATGCTCCATCATAGCATGCTTGTCTCCGTGCCACGTCTGCACCTCCACTTGGGGCCTTTGCCTCCAGGAAGACATTTGGTGCCACGGGGACATTGGCGTGTTTGGTGGGAATGACGGTTGATCGGAGGTACTGGTCCTTCCTAAGTTCTTGACTGAGGTCTTGCAGGCGTGCCCCGTCGAAAAAGTCGGGTTTCGGCTTCACCGCAGTGTCATCTGTGATGGGCTCAAGCTCGGTAAAGAGGACGTTCTGTTTGCTGTGGATGTCCGATGTGCCGCATAGCCGAGGAACCAGTGTCGCCATAACATCAGACTCGAAAACTACGTCCTCATTTTGCCGCTGGAATGTCTCAAAGGCTCCATCGGAAAACTTGGATGGGGATAATGACGCTCTTTGTTTGGCCAGTTCACTCTGGATATCCTTCACGTTGTTTGGTTTCGATCTCCGATTGTTCATATACACACCATTGTCGGCGAGGTGTGCTTCGAAGTTCTTATCGTACGCGGACGATTTTCTGCTTCTGGGGGTGACACTGGTTGCTCCCGTTGACTCCGTCTGTCGACTGCGGGGGTTCGTAGATGATGGAGTTGACGACATAACGGCAATGGGTTTCGGTGCTTGGAACTAGAACCTGTTAGATCACGCTTGAGGCTGACGACGGGCACCTACTCCTCGGAGATGGCGAAGATCAGGCCCGCCGTGTCTTGCGAAGCGAGCGATGTCCTTGGAAACCACTTCTTCGGAGGCTGCAGGAGTCGGTGAATGTTGCCGCTCTTCGTTCCGTCGGTCAATTTCTCGCAGGGCAAGAGATGTGAGGGACACCTTCGAGAGGTTGTCCCAAAATGACGGGGCAAACGGTGTCGCTCTGTGCCTTCTCGTGAACTTGCACCTCTTCGCCGGAGGGCTGGTTTCGGTGGGAAGGTCTGTGTGCCGCTTGCGCTTGTACGCGCCCGCCATGGGCGAATGCAGTGCAGGACTGTGACTGATCTGAGCCATCGGTAAGCCTTGGTCGGGACAGACGGCCTCGTTTTAACATGCGCAGGGGCTGTCATGTGAGGCGACAATGATTGGGTCGGGACGCGCTGTCCACCCGATTGCCTGGACGCGGAGTCAAGGCCAGCCGTTAGTCGCCCGGCCTGCATGCAGGAGGGTGTTATCGTCTCATGAGCCGCACCATCATGGGAGACAAGCGAGGTGAGCACTTGTACCTAATGTTGGGCCGACCGAGCACGAAGGTGGCAGGAGTGCTGTGCGTGATGTACCCCATGGAACGCGTGGTTACGTGGGGCAGCATCAGGTGGCATCAGCGGCTCCGGATAAATAGTGGGCCGGGTCGCCGGCACATCCCGCCTCAACTCACTCCAGCTGATCCACCATTGACGCCCCTCAGAGCCGCCGCGTGTCGCCGGCTTTCGCGAGCGGCAGATGAAGGTATGAAGCAGAGCCAGAGACAAACAACGCGCGGAATCCAGTATCTTATTGCGTACAGTCCATAATCGTCAATGGAAGATACCAAGTCAAGCGTAAGCTTGGCAAGGGCGGGTTCGGTCTCGTCTATGACGGTATCGCCGCCGGTCCCCCCCAAGTGGCTCCGTCTCACGCTGGGCTAACTCGGGCAGGCGATGACATCTTGTCGAATGAAGAGGTCGCGATAAAGCTTGTGCGCACACGGGACGACCCCAGGATTCTCGAACACGAAGCAAGCATCTACAGAGCACTTGCAGGAGGGCCCGGCATACCCCAAGTTTTTTGGTACGGACAGCAGGATGACTACTATGTGTTGGTCCAGGAGCTTCTGGGGCCCTCACTCGAAGACTTGTTCAACTTCTGCGGCCGTCGTTTCTCGCTCAAGACAGTACTTCTCATCGCTGACCAGGCCATCTCGCGGATCAAGTACATCCACGACAAGCACTACTTGCATCATGACATCAAACCGGACAATTTTCTGATGGGCGTCGGGAGGCGAGGGAACGTGTTATATACGATTGACTTTGGCCTAGCGCAGGAGTTCTCTGGCCTGGCTTCGGAGGGGCGCAGTCACGGCCGCACCCTTCGATACGCCAGCATCAACAACCACAACAAACGCAGTGAGTATCCATCAAACTACAGCCTCAGACAACTTTCTTATGATCGTTTCAGAACAGTCGTGGTGTGATGACTTGGAGTCACTTGGATACGTCCTCTTGTACTTCATTCGTGGTTCCCTGCCTTGGCAAGGCCGCAAAGCGGCAATCGAGGAAGAGAAGGACGATCTGATCAAAGACATGAAGACAAACACTTCACCAAGCAGCCTGTGCGAGGGGTTCCCAGAGGAATTTGCCACATATCTTGGGTACGTTCGCTCGCTGGGCTTCGAAGACAGGCCACGCTATGCGTACCTTCGTCACCTCTTTAATCGCCTGTTTGTATCCCGCGGGTTCAAGCACGACAACGTGTTCGACTGGACAGAGAAGCTGCACGGTCTCGTTGTCGCGTCATAGTCAACAACACTCATCGCAACCGAGAGGGGAAGAGAGAGTGACACGTACTTATCGGCATTGTCCGGGAAGAGAGATGCACACAAAGCAGCCTCATATGCTCCTCTTGCTGTATGTCCGCGCGGTGATGCTGGTCGTTGTGGTAGGAGCGTGGTCCTTGTCGGCAGCCGAAGTTGACACGCCAATGAGCTCTACGTCTCTAATTCACCGTGTCCGCCGTTGGTGACGTAGCTGTCAAGCATGACTGGGACCAGATTGCTGGCACCCTCCCAGCGGACTTCCCCCGCAGGAAGTGGCAGGATGCCCCTCGTCCGACGCAGGTGACACGCCGTCGGGCAAGTTGATCGCCAGGTATAAAGCCGGGTGGTCGCCCTGCGACCCTCCTCGAATTCCTTCTCTTTCACTGCTTTGATCCTACCCATCGGTAGCGACTCATCATCCGGATAAGCCAGACGACCGGAAGAACTCCAGCGACAATGCACCAAACGATACACGATCCGAGCGACGAAGACGGCCTCCAGAGTGTCGCAGACTGCCTCGCGCGAGCAAAGAAGGTCGTGGTTTTGCTGGGTGCTGGCGTCAGTACAGCCGCGCAGATTCCGGTAGGCATGCAGTTGGAAAGGCTGGGACGCGTCTGACTTACTCAGGACTTCCGGTCGAACAATGGCCTCTACAGGGAGGGAGAGGTCTTCACCGAAGGCGCCGCAAATTCCCCAGAAGGGCGTGCTCGTCTGCTCAAAGTCGCGTGGGAGCTTCGTCAGAAAGCCCTCATCGCGGGACCGACGGAGACACATCGTCTGCTCGACACTTTGAGCATGCGAGGCCAACTTCTTCGATGCTACACGCAGAATATCGACATGCTTGAGGAAGGGGTCGGACTATCTGTCGGCGTCGACCCCGGATACAGCTGTATCCCGCTCCATGGCTCCCTGCGTCACCTTCGCTGCGCTTCTTGCTGCAGCCTCTTCAGTAATTGGGCAGACTATGAAGCGTTCATCACGGCTGGAGAATCTGTGCCATGCCCATCCTGCGCCGCCTCTTGCCAGGCAAGAGTAAGTGCTGGGAAAAGGCGCAGCTATATCGGTCACCTCTTGCCAGACATTGTGTTGCTAAACGGGCAGCATCGGAATGGTGAGGCAATTGGTAGTATCATCGCCAAGGATGTGGCCGCACCGCCTGATTTTCTTCTGGTTCTGGGCACGAGTCTTCGGGTTCACGGTCCGAAACGGCTTGCTAGCAGACTTGCGGAAGCTGTGTCTGGTCGGCACGGGACAGTCGTCTATGTCGATTTGTCCGAGACGTGTTCGTGGAGCAAGCGAGTCGACTTCCATGTCCACATGGGTTGTGATGAATGGGTCCAGGATTTGACAAGGAGACAGTCGGTTTTTTATGGTGGCTCGGGCTCGGCGGAAGACCCTATCATTATCGACTGAGCTCCGTCTAGAACGAACGAACATTGACCTTTGTCCTCTTGTGTATCTCGCTCCCGTCTATAGATACGATGGCAGCCAACAAGCCAAGGCACACGCATGGCATCGTTGGATGGACTTCTCCACAGCTGGCCACGGAGTAAGAACAGGGAGCGGCGCCCAGAGCAGTCGCGAGCCACGCCACGCCTCGTCGAGATCCCCAAGCGCCAGCCGAGACAGGGTCGGTCATGTCTGTGAAGGTACCGCGGGCCCCCTCGTGCTCAAAACTGACAGCCCTGGCCCGCACCTCCAACATATCTCGTGCATGGCCTGGCACTCGAAAGTGCCAATGCTGAGCCTTGCCCTGGCAGCCTGTGCCGCTGTTGCGGACGCTCTTGCCCAATGATGGGCTCGGGTTCCCAAATATGCACATCAAGCATCGCTCGTCGGAGGAGGCCCGGGTCAGCTGATGTTCCGGGCCTCCTCCGACAGAGTCGGGGCATAGTCCAGTATTTCTATCTGGTCTGTCCCCCCGCTTCTTCGCAGCTCCTCATGTTGTTTTCTTCCTTCATCGCCATCCTGAACACGGTTATCAGCGGTATCCCAGCCCGATCAAAGCCGAAGCCTCGAACATGAACACATCCCCGGCAACATGTGTTACCGCCAATCGGCTCGACGGTCGAAGCCCGGCAGCAGACGACATGAAGATCGACTGTGAGCCGCGATTTGATAGCAGCAATCTCCAGGGGGGATCGGTCGACGATACGGCCGTTGCAGCAGCGCAGAACGAAACAGTGTCCGCATTGTTCACGCCCACCAGCAATGCAACGGCAGCCGATGACTCGGACATGATGCGTCAGGAGACGTTGGGGCACATCAAACCCCTAGACGACGTCGCCTTGGAAGCTACGAGAGCATACCTTCAGCAGAGGTTCGCCCGTCGTAGTCTTCCACGAAGAGATGGCCTGCACCATATGGTATACGGCGGAGTTTCCAATCGTCGCCGCTCGACGTATAAGCACCGGCCTGCGGCGTCTAGACAGGCAGATGAGCGACAAATAGCTCTCATGGTGCAGATGATGCGGGATCTGGAGGTTGTCGAGCCTGGCAGCAGGAGCATACCAACCCTGGGGCGATTTGGGTGTCGAAGGCGTCGCGCGAGTATTTGAGGCTCTCACGAAGTTTGAGGACTGCTGCGCTGCTTCCTAGCATATACCTCGATTTGTAGTCAATGAAGAAGCCGAGCAGAGTTGACAAATGCAATTCGCCTCATCCAACGCTTGTCCCGTGGGTAGAGGCAATTTCTCCCCCGGTAGAATTATACCAAGCCATTTTGAGAGCTGTCTCCGCCATGACACGCAGATACTGGGCGGAGGAGTGTTGGCCGCAAACTCATCATGTGCGACGCCTCGTGTCACCGATCAAGCCGTGGTCAAACCCTGGTCACGACAGCCACCTCTCAGTCCAAGCTGACCGGCATCACCCAATGACAAGCTCATAACGCGCACTGCATCAATGTGCAACGGTCATCCGCTGCGGCGTTATGGGGAGAATCGTCCGATCGGTGCGTCATATCCGTCCATGACGCACACAACATTTCCTTCATACTGCTGAAACTGGCGTTGGTCGGTCGGGTGCCCTTCGTTGCCTGGCACATTCGCTCGAGACGTGTCTGTCGATACCGAGACGGGGGAGGAAGTTCGACGGAATCGATCTTGGGAAAGTCGGGCAAGCCGCGGGGCCATCGGGCGGCTTGCATGGGCGACGTCCGGATTATGTGGCGACACTCGGTCAAAATGAGTAGGCGTGCTTCGTTCAAAGGGAAGCTTGACGCGCGCTGGATGAGGTTGGCGACGACGGGATCGTGAGCGTGTCTTGACGCGGATGGTCGAGGGAGTCGCTACACCGTTTGCGACGCGAGGACCAATGGCGTGCAGCCATGCAGGGTGACTGCCAGCCGCCCCCCCTCTTGCGCTGCAGAGATGCCTGGCTCACCCAACTCGCGCGACCACACCCGCATGGCTCACCCGGCTCACCCAAGGTCGCGCGATTGGCCGGAGCGCCGGAGCTACTGGCGCATCTGCCACAGAGTCCCTACACACTTCTGAGTCTGTAACGAAGAGTGAAACAGCATCCTTCCCTGCTTTTTATTCCTGAAACGCAACTTTTTTTAGGGAAATAAAAAAATGCAAATAAATTATAATAATAAAAAGTAGCCTACTACAGTACACACCGTATTTCCAGACACGTGCATTGTAAGGGTTTTTCGGGTGATCCGCCGGATCTGGCGACCCGCCGGATTTCCAACTCGTTGCATTCCTGAGAGTATGCCAGAAAGACTCCACAACCACGTATAATCTCGTCCTAATTTTAACATTAAATGGAAAATACGGCTGTAAAATATGTCTCATCCCATTTCACAGTCGTCAAGCCATCGTGGCCGCTTGCTGTTCCGGCACGGTCGCCCGGA